AAGTATTCCGGAACGCTGGCCGTTTTCTATTACTGTGGGCAATTATTATCGCCTACATTGTGTATATTTTTCTCCTTTTGGATAAAATTAATTTCTAATACTCTATTTAATATTTAAGCGACTTTCATTTTCCTTCGTTGGTGTTGCTTGATTTCTATTTTTTAAATTATTATCATTTTCTGATTCACTTTCACCGCCACCCTTACAAAACAATTTAAGTCGAAATGCGTCCACACCATTAAGATAATACCGATATAATCTTTTGTCTCGGATAAATCCCAGATTTTGGTATAATGAAAGTGCACCAACATTGGTATGTTCAGTTTCAAGCACAATCTGGCAAGTAGTGAGTGTATCAAATCGATGTAAAGAAATGTCATAAAAATTTTTCTTTTCTTTCTTTTTTAACAAAAATTAATGTATAATGATCACCTCATCGGCATTTTGACTCTTCATCGCATTGATAGCCATTCTTACTAATGTCGTGCCTAGCATTTCATTATTAAGATTATTATAATCATATTATGAAATAAAGTTGATAAAGACGACCCATTAATCAGAAAACAATAAATAATACATATCTTCACTACAAATGATACCAACCGATCTTTTGCTTTCGATATTCTTTTTTTACCGCCAGCATTGCAATATAACCTCGTAATGCATTATTGTGCCGATGCCGATCCAACTTACAAATTATTACGCCTATACACTGATCTTGATCCATGGTCTGAAATTTTTATATTTCAGAAGACGAACAACCATTAGGAGAATTCATAAAAATGCCATTTTATAGAGAGATAATTGTTGTTTAAAATTTGCTAATACGATGCTTCAAATTTTTAACTCACTCACCTACCATAAAACATAAATTAGGCCAATTATTAATAAAATATCGATAGGTGTAAATAGAATATGGTTCTGACAAGTCATTCTCTATTAACGACATTATCCCTGGTAACTGTAATTCGGAAGAATAAGGAATATATGTAAAAGCAGGCTTTTTCGTTGCCGTTGCCGTTGCCGTTGCCGTTGCTGTTGTCGTAAACTCGTTATTAATGTTAGGTAAAGTGGAAGTTATTGAAGGTAATTGGGATTCAGACATTTCTGTGCGTGTTACAGAGAATCTTTTTTAGGATAGCATATATATTTTCTCATATGTTACACACAAAAAAAATTTAAAAGCCCGATTGGGATAATGAGATTTACGCTTCCCACGAAAAATAACGATAATGGCTGACCAAAAAATTTGCGTGTTGTTTGTTTGTCTCGGTAAGTGTATATATAATGTATTTGCGAAATGTACGAATAAGCTCAATATTATATTTTTGTAAACAGGAAATATATGTCGAAGGTATGTAATGCGTATATAATTGTTATCTAAAAAGGAACAATATTTAATTTTCTGTAAAAGTCCAATGGCAGAGGCAGTATTCGCGCATACGGTAAAGCTAAAAGATAAGAGCCACCTTTTTCGAATTGATAGTGCGGGTACTGGTAATTGGCATATAGGAGAGCCCCCAGGTAAAATTTAAGCTCAGCTTTAGAATTTTTTTTTCAATTTTGAATAAAGGGAAAATCCTTTTTTATAAAAAATAGACCCTCGATCTGTCAAAACATGCAAGAATCATAATGTTCCTGTGAATGGATTTGCGAGACAGGTTTTAATTTAACTTTTTCTTGATCTCATTCAAGTTTGCTTGATTAATTTAAAATAAATTTCCTCGATTAAAATATAATAAAGATCACACAAGAAGATTTTCATGAATTCGACTATATTCTGTGTATGGACGAATCAAATTTAGCAGATTTGAAAGCCATAAAACCTAAAGGAGCAAAAGCCATCGGTATATTACTATTATTATTCTATTTTTTTTAACTTAATTTTTATTTTTAACGGGGAATACTAAAATATGACTACTTATATATTGAAAAAAGTGAAACTATTTGGTGAATATGATCCAGAAGGAGAAAAATATACACAATGTAGGCGATAATAATTGCCCACAGTAATAGAAAACGGCCAGCGTTCCGGAATACTT